CGAGGCGATCGAAGGGAACTGGTCCACATAAGTCGTACTGATGATGTCAGAGATGAACTATAGCAAGAAGGTGACGTTGGAGGCCATTCAGAAGTTCGTTTGACTCATGGTCGGTCAGGGTACCTGAGCCAGCTGCACCGCCCAAGAAGCCGGATGGAAAGGAACCAGGAGCTGACCCCACGGGGCTAGACAAGAAAAAGATGAGAAGGAGTCAAAAAGGGAAGCGAGGAAGGTCGAGGCGACCCAGGAGCTACGAGGTTCTGTTGGTGCGCTTCTTGAAACACTCCAGGAAGCTGCTAAGGAGCGGCATGAAGGAGCTGAGCCGGTACTTGGCAAGCAGAGCAGAAGGAAGCACCGAAGAAGAGAGCTGGTCGAGTTGCAAGATGATGACCTTATGTGAATCAGGTGGTGGTGGTTTAGAGAAACCACAGAGAACTCATCATTTTGGGGACAGAAATTGATATGCTGATTCAGGGGGATTCCCGCAATTGGGAGACCTCTTGATATACAACTTGAAGGCACTAGAGATAAGCCTTTAGACAACAATTGGATGTCGGCCAGGCATCAAGGCGGCCACCCTGACTTCCAAATTAGAGAGGCGGAAGGGCGCAAATATGGACGTCATAATCTTTAAATTGGTGGAATTCATTAGCAAAAATAATGCAAACAAATAGAAAGAAATGACGATACATTTGAGAAAGACAATCCCGTGATATTATTAAAGGAATTCAAATTGAATTAAGAAATCCCGAAAAAATACGTTAGAGGAAGATGGAATAAATATATGGGATTCTTTAAATATTTATTCTCAAGGATTATATGGATTATTGGAATTATTAAATTTAGTAATAATTTGGAATAATTATTTGGGAGATATTGGGAAACAATTTTTGAATTATTGATATAATAAATGAATATATATATATATTTATTAATATAAAATATAATAAATGAATAATTTTAACATTATGAAGATTAATATATTTTTTATATATGAAGAAGGATATATAGAAATAAAGAAATTTAAAGAATATATTTTTAAATAAGATTGAATATATAATGAATATATAAAATATATCGAATATTTTTATATTGGAAAATTATATGGAAAGGATTTTGAATAATATTTATATTATTCTAAAATATATTGATATAAATTTTTTAAAATATATTAATTATGAAGAATTTTCTAAATTAGGATTATTTTGCGAATTGCATTGAATTTATTTAATAAAAAGAATTATATTTTTAGAATTAAAATTGCCATAATCACTCACATTTTGTAAGATGAACTAGATGTGAAACCATGTCGACGGCCTTATCGAAGGTCCTTTTTATGCCAAGAGAAAAGGTGCGTAATTTCGCGTGGGGTTTTCAAATTACGAATCTAATGCTTTTTTAAGTCCACCTAGGACCACAGCGTGTGTGGCCTGGTTGTTGGCCGCTATGGCGAATCTATTTTGGTCTTAGGCGGTGCAAGAGCGCTTCATACTGGAGCAGGCGAGACCAGAAGATCTTCCATTGGTCCCTGAGGGTGATTCGGGTGTCAGCGCCACGGTGGACTCGGAAGAGATGATCCCGGATGCTCATGATCTTCTGGACTTTCTGAGCTTGGACGTGGACCAGGAGAACCTGGAGGAGAAGTCGGTCGACGACGGCGGCCATGCAATCAGTGCTGATGAAGAACAGGATGAAGGCCCACAAGAACTTTGGAGAGATCCTCAAGAGGAGCTCCAGAAAGCCTTGAACATCTAACCAGGCTGGCCTGAGATCACGAGTGACTTGGGCGCACGGGGCTCAGCTGGTCCTCCAATGCCACCGACGAGCTGGATGAGGAGACCTGTGGAAGGTGAAGATGGAGTGATGGCATGGCGATTGAAAGAAAGGAGGCCGTTCGGGGACCATCAAATACCAGGTCAGCAGCCGGAAAAACATCAACGGCTTGATCAAGGAAGAGGACGACGTGATCCACTGACTCGGATGGATGGTCACCAGAAGGCTGAACGACAAGGAGATCGTGAAATACCAGGTCAATAGCTGGGAGAACACCAACGAATCGATCAGGGTAAAGGTCGACAAGATCGCCTGAGCCGAGATGATGATCTCCAGCGAGCGATGGAACTTCAGGTGGTTGAAGAGCTTCGAAGGCAGAATGAGGAGCTTCGGAATGAGGTGAGGGCCTTGAACGAAAAGATCGCACAAGGTCAGAACCGCCGAGGTCAGACTCCTACCCCAAGGACACCAACGACGACAATGTTCACTCCGATGGAACAATCTCTGCAGGTGAGAAGAACTCCAGGGAGTACACAGGTCCCTCCAGGGACACCACCGCAGACATCGGAAGAACTACGGGGTGAACTTCCGGAAGTTCCACCTTGGCCATGGTCGAAGTTTGAGCATGGCTGCTCGGCGGAGGAATGGTCAAGTTGGGAACGCCAACAGCGTGCACGACAAGAACGAGGTCGTGAAGTACATGAAAGGACCCATGGAATGTTAGGTGCAACTGGCAGCCTACACCGTGAAGAGTGTGGGGGCACCGACAGGGAGGTCCTGACCGCGGGATTCATCCCCGATGGCATGAACTATGTGAAGATGAAGGACGCGATGGTTTTGGCTCTGCATCTCGAATGATGGAGGCAGAGCAGGACAGGCGAACTGGGCTTCATGGTACATGGGTACCACATGATGGTCCTGGTCGATTTCAAGCGACTCGCCTACAATGGGTGGAGCGAGATTCCAAAAGCAATCGAACCATCCTGTTCCACTCAGGAACACAATTGATCATTAATGATTTTGCCTTGCCGGTGGTTACGCCACATTATGAAGAATTTTATAGAAGTCTGTAGCTCTTCGGATTAGTACATCCATTGAAGCGATTTGCACCAACAACTTTCGAGACCATTGCAGACCAAGACATTGTCCCCGTAGCCCAACGGGCGGACTTTCATACCGGTCCGCGCTAAGTACTGAATGAATGAAATTTATTTAAAATTTATTATATAGATTAAATTGGATTTTTTTAATATTATTTAAAATCAATTTTTATAAATATATTAATAAAATATAATTTTTTATTATGAATTTATATAATTTATTATATTTTATTTACGATTTTATAATTTGGTAATAAAATTTATTAAATATATAGGAAATCTAGTATTTTTATATAGGCATAATTAATTAATACATAATTTTGCATAAATTTACCTCGCACCTCCATTATTAATTGCCTTAAAATATAAATTTAATAATTATATATTTATAGAATATTTAATCGAAATATATTATATACAAAAATCATTATATTATATATTCATTAATTAAATTTCAATTTTTTATTACAATTCGATCACTTATTAATTTTCTTAATCCCTTTCTTCCTCCATTCTATAAATCATCGAAATCCTAATCCCCTTAAAAAAAATTAATAATAAATATTAATTATATCTATTAATTAATCCTTCTACCGGACATTTTAAAATATATAAATAAATCTTACAAAGATTTTTTATATCATTTTGCCAATATCCAATTTAAAATTCAAATTATTTTTTAAAACATATATTAAATTTATATAATTATATAAATATATTGATATATGTTTTTTATAAATTTCATTTCATCCTATATATCAAATAATAATAATATCTAATAATTATTCTATATATATAAATAAATAATTCAATATTTTTTTTTTTTCAAATTTTATATTTATATTTATCTAATATTATATGTATTTTAACAATATTATAGAAATTAATAATAAATATTATATACAAATTATTTTTTTCTTTACCCTATTAAATATATCGATCATAAATATAATCAATATAAAGCGGATTCCTTGAATGATATTCCTAAAATATTTATTTCAAGATTGTATAGATCGATATATATAAGTAGAGGTTGGGTCCCGGAGTTTAAAGAATATATATAAAATGCCTTTGGATAACAATTCATAATTATAAAATATATATATATAATCATAAATGATCACCTTCTGACAATATAAATTGTCCCCCCCTCAACCCTCTCTTTGCACATATGGTTTTTCAAATATGCCTCAACAACAAAGGCTTTTGGGGCTTTATAAAATGAATAAGCCATGCTGGGATCTATACTGCTGTTGATGGACAAAATCATGCACCACCTCACCACTTTACTCTGGAAGGGTCGCATAGCAACCCCCGTGCCCCCTCATTCAATGTTGGCGCGACCCCTCTGAGGAGGTGGTGCAGGATTTTGGACCTTCAACTTGTCTTTTTTCTCACTGTGGTGGCCCCAATGTTAACGAGGGAGAACGAGGGCAGCAAGAAAAGTGTGCGCAAAGTGGTGCACGATTTTGTCCATCAACAGTATCTCTTATGTTTTTCATCTATGTCAGATTGGGCAGGAATCTATTTTATAGCAGCTGGTGGCTTCATGAATTAGGATGCTTCATGCATTTAATCAATATTCTAGCAATACCCGCTATGGAATTCAGTGTAGCTGATGTGGAAATGTCCAGGAATGTCCAGGATGTTGAGCTTGCTGGTTTGCTGCCCTTACAGTCAGTCATGTTGATGATCGATGCCATTGAACCAATTCAAGGGAATTCGAATCAAAACGAGTTGAGAAATGACAAAAATCAAACTCTACCATACTCTACCTTCGCTCGCCCACTCCATCTTTATAAAACGAACACTTGGAATCCTCCATCATCCTCCATCTGTATAAAATGACAACCTAACACATCAGGCAAATCTTGGCTGTTCGCCCTGCGACGCAAGATTTTACAAAACTAAAGGTCACATTTGGACAACCAAATCCAATTTTCACACTCCTGCAGCCTACATGCCCAAGTGGTTTGCATTCTATAACAACTAAGGCTTACATAAATTGGCTGCCCCCAAGCCTAGAGCTCCACATTTTATAATGTTTATTCCCACCAGGACTATTCATCTTAATTTGATTTGTATCAATTCTTTTCGATCGGATGTTGGAGTCGAATTCGATCCGATTCAATCAGTCCTCGCACCAGACAACATGCGTCTTCTCTTCGCCAGTGGCCTGAGACATGGCACGTGACGCTCACAATGCAAGTGGTTGTCTGAAGAGAGCCAATCAACAATTGTCCTTTCCAAGGTCCGTAAACTACAATTGTCAAGTCTCGCGTTGTTTCAGGCTTTTCTGGAGTTCTGAACCTAGGGATGTCCTATCTACAACCAGGAAGATTACCTGGATTTGTACTAAGTCAAGTGTTTGTATCAGGAATATCACGTTGCCTCCAAAGGATGATGATGGTTGAGTGTCAGTGACAGACCAGCAGCTAACTGCTTCACCACCCAGGGGGCGGAGGCAAAGCACCCTTGCACGCTTGCAATCCGCGACCGTACTGTTAAGCGCGCAAAAAAACCGGTTGGACACACATCCCCCTGAAATGGAAGGTGAGCCAACTACACTGGCCTTTGCAGGAGAATTCCAGCCTTTTTCGACTTGAAGACCGCAGTGACCCATTATGCCCAAACCTGGAACCACACGCTTCGCCTAGCGCGACTTCTAACTCATCCCCTTCTAGACGCATCACATGACCCTGCACCAGATCGGTGGGTTTTTGCAGCAGAAAGCAGGCGAAAGCAGGTGGGCTCGATCCCAGGGCTGCCAGGCTCATCAAAGGAAAGCAGCAACTCCTGCACTGCCACTTCACCTCAGTACTCCATCTGCGAAACACGGGCAACACATGTTGGAACATGTTGGAACATGTTCTGTCGCCTGACAGAGTGGTTTTTGAAGCGTCCTGACCCACCAAACAGAGTTGCTCTTCTTCGGGGCCAGGCCCGCATGAACCTGACTGGGAGCTGAAGAATGATAGTGCGCCATCTGCTTCAGTCGACTTAAGGTATAAGCAGTTGAGGAGAATCTCAAGCAAATCAAACAGCAAAATGGACTATCAATTTACATAATGTGCTAGATATGAAATATTATGAAATGATATGAATCAATTACTATATCAGAATCAATATCCTATCTATGTGGCCATGTTCACCATTTAACAGTTCAGATCTTTTCAGATAAAGGTCTATGCTCAAAACCACCAGTTCCCCACCAAACGGTTCACCGTCCTCGGTGCCCGGCTCCGGCAAAGCTCCTTGAAGGACTCAGATCCGACGACCTCGCACCCGAGAGGCGAGGCCTCGGGTGAGACCTGTGGATTGACCTCCGGAGACAAACTCTTTGGTCCAGAGTCAAGGCCTTGGTGCCTTGGTGGTCCAGAGGAAGTTTGGCAGAAACTTCTTTGATCCAATATAATTATGTGAAGCTCGTTTTGTTTGCTTTTGGGGCGTGAAGTTTGGCAGAGAGAGAGAGAGAGAGAGTCAGTTTGTTCCAGTTTCTTTCTTGAAATCTCGAGCGGCAGGGACCTTGTCTTCATAGCAAGCTGCATCTGGATCGTGGTTTTACATGGAATCGAGTCACTCTGGTGAGCGTCATTTAGGACACATCTGAAGCAAACGAACCTCCCATCCCATCCTTATAGCCTGACGATCCCTGACTCACCATCTACTCATCTTCAACATCCCTGACTCGCCACCCTCAACCTTCCATGTTCATTCCTAGAGTGCTCCAATCACACCTCTCCCAAACATATTTATAAATCCCCGGCCCAAGACCACCAGTTTAGTAGGGAATCATACCTACTAAAGGACACGCTCTACGGTCAATTGCACCTGAGACATCCTGAGACAATCATCCTCTACACACACACACACACTGTGAATCACAGAGTCACACAGTCACACATGCTTTTCCACCAAACATGGGACGAGTTCGTCGGAGTTTGTGTTCCTTCCCCAGGATTGGGTGCAAACCACTCTCAGGAACCACGCATCTCTCAGCTGCCCTTGCATCCTGCGGACGTGCTCAAGATGCAAGAGAACACGTGTTGCGAAATTCACTCCAAAATCCTGTCGCGACTCCTCCCCTTTCAAAGCTGCGACACCAAAACCGTGTCACAACGGGCCAATGAATTGATCGATGTTTCTCTGAAACGGTCGGTCCTTTCGACGCACGCCTTCACGAGAGTTGGCACCTGGCGGAGTTGGGAACCGAAGGGGTGCCCGCCCACGGGGTGCCGAAGGAGCAGCTGCGTCCTGCTGCGTGCTTCCTCCTTGAACAAATGACGGACATGTCGTCATCTTGGCGAACTCCCTGAAAGATGGGACCTGATAACTCTGGTTGACCGCGGGTCATGGCTGAACAGATTCTATATGTTTGGATATGTTTGGGATGCCAACTGAAACCACGGTTTGGTTGGGTTGCTGCGCTTGGACTCACAGCCATTTCACAAACCGAAGATCACGTCCACAACTCACACTTATTGGTCGAAATCATTCGGCGAATGGCCGTAGTTTGACCATTGCTTGGCCCACTCAGCACAGTTGGGCATCCTCAGGTTTTTGTGCACCCAAGTTCGGTGTCCTTTTCGACCGGTGAGACCGGACACGCCCCCGCGCCTTGCTTCGCACGGACACGACGGAGCCGAAGGTGATCAAGGCATTGTCCTGCGCCGTCTCGGTCGCGAACGGGCCGAACCGGGCCGAACCGGAAGGAAGCGAAGCGAACGGTGCGAGGACCTCCAATTGTCACACCCAAAATGGATCGGAGAGAGAAAACAACGCCTGGAATCAGACTCCTCTGCTAGCGATTGATGGACGCAAGGCCCTTTGCTGCAAACGCTTGTGATGGAATCGATTCTAACATTACTCCAGGTTGGCCAGTGTTTCCCCCGTTTCGATAGAGACATCCACAAACTGGATTCTTCCAACAGATGTTATGAACTTTTATGAACGTATTTGCTTGTCTTAGGATTTGGATACGTTTGGATCCTCATCGCAACCGGTCTCACCGACTCTCGGCTCAGCTCCAGCGTCAGGCCCTGCATGATCTTCCACTCGCAAAGCCTCGTCAAGTCCTGTGAAGCCGCGCTGGAAAACGGGGCCACGCCTTCGACAAAGGAAAGACTGGAAGATTCTAGATGCATTTGGGTGGAAGATCTAATTAAGTGAGCATTTTAAAGGAAGCTTTGTGCTTTCTTTTAGAAGGCACTACTATAGTATGTAAGGCTAACAAGGCCCTGACAACTCCTCCAGAAACTGGTACAGTATGTTCCACCACAATCTTCGTTGGAGCACTGTGAGATCTGAATCCTCTGGCAACTATGGAGATGGAATTGGGAAGCTTGATCGGCCAGGCCCATTCGACATGCATACATCATTCCAATTGAAGTATTTCAAGCCGGTGACCATCCAAAAGGCAATCTGAGTGTCAAACAAATAAACAAGCAAGCAAACAAATAACAAACAAAACACACGTATCTCTCTCTCTCTCTCTTTTTTCTCCTCCAGCATAAACTCCACAGACAAGTGGAGGACCTGACATGGCCCAAGGCCGCACACCACGGAGAAAACGAGGAAGTCTATCGAAATCATTCGAACTCTGACAGATCGGAGAAGCAGTCGAACTACAGATAGTGCGTACGGACCAAACCGGACCAAAGCCGGACGTCGAAGCTCGAAGCCACAGCCACAGTCAAGGGAGAAGCTCTGTCTTGAAGTAAAAACTGTTTGATCTATTGATGGTCTAGTCAAACCAGTCCACTGAGTTTTGACATCACTGGGAAAAAGGAAATGACACAAACACCACTGATTGCAACACTTCCTCCCTGAGAGTCTCTTTGGTGTAAGAACAAGGGGTTCCATGGGGTTCCCTATTCTTATCGATACACCAGGATTCACTTCGCAGCAGTGCCAAAGGTGGAAATCCAGGAAAAGGTGCCTCTAGGGCTCCATGACCCCGACCGGACCCCAAGCATGGGCATATATGGGGTCCATCTGCTGTTTCAGTGATCCAGAACTTTTGTAGCGCTGCCAAGGCTGTGACTTCCAATGGATCCGCCTCCTCGAACAGGGCCTGGCGACCAGACCGAGGTTGACGAGAAGACCCTGTCCCACCCACCGGAAGAAGACCACTGACTGCACCGCTCCTTTTTCTGCATCCCGTCCGATCCATCTTGATCAAATCCAGGCGATCTCGCAAGGGCACGAATCCCACTACCTCCCTCAAATCAATTTCCTCCACTTCCATGAACTCCGTCTTGGACTGCACGACCTCGGCCCGTCCCACCGAGCCGTCCACGGCGGCGTGGAGACGCTGCAAGGCCTTCGTCAGGTAACAGTAGCTGCCGCTCGGCCGCAGGCGCTGCGCCGCCAAGGCTTGCGCATTCCGCGCAATGCCTTGAGCGAAGGCGTCATCTTCGAGCAGGCGTTGCAGAGTGGGCACCAAATCCTGACTGACAGGAGGCAACGGAAAGGTGGAAAGAGTCTTTAAGAGGCTTACGTGACCAAAGATCGCATCCAACAAACTCATAAATAGTGGTTGGACCAACCGTTGGTCCTGGAAAAATTACAAATAGAAAAACATGAAGCCAGGTCAGGTCTTTGTTTGCTGCAGGTCCGGTCCGATAGGTCAGCACCAATCAACGTACAGAAAAACTCTTTGATGGCACCTAGGATCGGTCAAATTGGGTTGAATGGGAACGTAGTGTTCCCAAGGCTTCAGCAGTGGCCACAGGTGTTCGAAGGTCGCATCTGAGACCAGCAGAGGCACGGAACCGGACCGCAGAACATGAGTCAGTTGATGAGATTGAGTAACTCCAGGAGCAATGAGGATGAACTTAAACTTCGGGGCATGCTCCCAAAAGTCTTGCGGCATCATCCGGGCGCGAAGATCTTTCAGCAGAACTTTAAGATTGTGCCTGCCCCATTGTAGCTCCAGCGTTTGGTGAACTCCAGAGTAGGCCACGTCAAAGAGTGATGGAAACTTGTTCGCGAGCTTCATTAGTCGCAGTCTGGGATGAAATTCTGCAGTGCTTAGGAGTGTCATGCTTGGAGCGATCATGCTGCCTCTCCACCACAGCTGTCCTCACATCTCCAGTCGAAGAGAAGAAGCTACTGAGGACATTTGTCTTTGCAACAGCTGTGTTCTCACAGTCAAACACCAAAACGCAAACCGTTGAAAGAATCAGTTTTTCACCTTGGTCTCCCTTCTTCTGCTGCCAGCTGGGTGTTTCTGCTTCGGTGTCCAGGAGGCCCTGCAACAGTGCCCGAATGTGATAGACCGAGGGCCAGGGAATGGTCCAAGAACTATCGGAGCCGCTGGGATGAAAGATGGGCACATTGGAGTAGAAGACCTCGTGGCTTGGCGAATCGTGAGAGGTTTTCCCAGGGATCTGGGTTTCTTTGCGTTCTGGCTGAGATTGGGGTTGCGAAATAGGTTTATATGTGATATGGGTGTATTAGAATAGTGTGACCCCTCAAAATTGCTGGGTTCTCGTGGAAATTTGTTCGTCACCTTGTCTTCAAACCCCGGGCCCCTGAGATGCAACCATAGTTTGTCATATTTTGTAGGGATCCCTGCCATGGAGAGGTGGAGAGGTCCAAGGAAATTTGGATCCCATCCTGAATTTCATCCAAATGGAAATATTGGGTCTACACAAATTTCCAGAGTCATTTTGGCTGACAAATCTCATCCTGGCAAAACAAATTGACTCACTAATTCTCCTCCGCACTCTTGAAGCAATCCAAAACGCTTTGAGCATACCACACGAAGCCGGGATAACGATCGAATCTCAACCTCTTGTCATTCCGGTCCGCATCAAACCTACAACCTGGAATTGACAAAAAGATGTTGGTTTCCCCAGGACCTCGAAACCAACCACCTCACAGGGTTCGAACGAAACACAAGAAGAACAGGACATACGAAACCCAAAAAACACACACCTTTTTGTGACCAACGGTTCGTCCCATCCGTCGTCCCATCCGTTCGTCCGTGTTCGGATGGCGGTGGCCGGCCTGTGACGTGAAAGGTTCATCACCAAAGGCCAAGAGGAACTCCAGGGACAAATCGATGACTTGGAGCAAATCTTGAAGCAACCCAATGCCTCAGTGGCGCTCGCCGCTTCAGTCCGGTGTTGGGACTGGAGAATGGCAGTTGACTTCCCAAAAGAATGGCGTGTTGCTTCCTGGAGACGTGCGACATGTACATGTGGAACATCCCAACGCAAAGGGCAGAAGAATGCGACCAGTCTCTTGGCTTCCAGATGTTTTCATTTTTCGACTTGTCAAACACGAATCCTGAAGAGTCTAGATGCTGGATGTCATCCTGAGGTACCGGCTCTTAAACTCATGATTGATTTTCATCCAGATGTTTAATGTTTCATCCTGAGGTACAAGATCTCACAAGTTTGGCAGCTTCGGTGAACAAAAAAAGTGAAGGAGCCTCACCTTCGTTTCACTCCGAACCATGTCATGTCTCCCTTCCTGCCTGGCCCTCTCTGCTAGATCCATTACGCACTCTCTAATTGAACTGAGACGGCAATGAGCTGAACCCTTCGTTGAGCAAAAGGCGGACAGGTGAACAGGTACTTTTTGTTTTCGCAAGCTATTTTGGTGGGTTTTTCACATTCGATTTTTAAGCAACAAATGTTTTCACACTACCAAGATGCCTTCGGTGTGTCGACGTTGGTTCGGCGCTTGACACCTCTTCCGCACCGTATGTGGCACATAGTCAAGGAGAGGCATGGAAAGGAGCAAAGGGAGGATTAACAGATTTCAAACACATGCTGTCTTGCGGGGAGGACCTGTCATGGAAACAATCTTAAAATCCTCAAGAACCTGTGAGAAACTGCTAGCAGGCCACACTGGCACTTCCATGAACAAAACACACACTGGCACTTCTTCTTCCCTGCGTGCCAAACACTTGCTTTTTCGCATGAAATCCGGGGATTGGCACTGCCGACCTCCGCGGAGTAGGCGCTCCGAGGCGCTCTCTACACGGAGGAGTCGGCGCACCGGCACCGAAGTGGAGAGGCTGGCGTCTGAACGAATGGGACGGCGAACATTCCATGCAATTCACATGGATTCACTAGCGCTTGGTCTCCACATGTGGAGGGTCAGGGAGGCAAATACATACAAAACGTTGCGTCATGAACCTGCTTTGCTTGGACCCACCCTCCTCTGAGCCTCTTCAAGCAAATCAAACAACCTGACGACCAATGCTGCGCGACCGATCAAGGTTGAGGTTGCGTGATTTGTTCTTGATGCAATGCATGAAGTCTTCGCAGTCTGGGAAACATGGCTTGGCCACTGTTGGAAGCCCTTCTGACAAACTCTGGTTCAATTTTTGGGCCTACGAGGGAGCCCAATCCCAAACAAACCATGGGTGGGGTTACAGTTACAACATATACTGTAATAATCTGTAATAGTAATATATATATATATATATAATAATATGTACATGTTATACAATACATCTCTCTCTCTCTCTCTAACTCTCTCTCTCTCTCTCCCCTCTTCCCCTCTTTCCCCTCTTTCCCTTCTTCCCCTCTTTCCCTCTTTCCCTCCGTTCTTTCTTTCTGTCTTTCTGTCTTTCTTTCTTTCTTTCATTCATTCATTCATTCATTCATTCTCTCTCTGAGTCCCTTTCATTAACAGCTCCGCATATTTCCGGGTTTGATCTTCAGACTTCGTCCAGGATACTCTCCCGCAAATCTCGGTGACTTTTGAAGCCAGTCTTCAACAAATCTTCGCAGCTTCCAGCGGAAGCACAGCAGGACATGTAGATCTTCCGCTCAAGAAGGACGACGCGGAAGGCATACAGTGGGGCTACACGAGCCACATTGATCTTCATCAGGGGCAAGCGCCCACAAAACCTCACTGGGTAAGCGTTTACCTGCCTAAAGATGTTCATCTCCCACTCTACTGTTGAAGAACCAATTCCCCAGCATCATCCCATCAGATTCCCGCTGTCGACGTCCACACAATCGCCAAGAAGCTCCTTGAAGACGTTTGGATTGAGCTTCTCAGTTCCCCAATACCTTGGTTTCGCACTATTGACCTGGTATCCAAACCAACACGGCAAGAGGAGGCTTGAGATGGCTTTCCTCTCCCAACCAGCTGAGTGCTATGTTCCTCCAAAACTGTCAAAGGCCTCTCCAAAACCAAACCAATTGAAAAACCCAAGCTGCGCGAATGCTTTCTCCAAGGCCGGCTCTTCCTCTGAGCAATTGAGCACTTCATACAGTTCTGTGGCAGACAGACTCGGAGCGGGGCAGCTGGCAGGTGGCTCCGCCGCCAGCGGCAGCGGCTCGAGCGCGTAGAGTAGCGGAGTCGCCCAAATGGCCCGGAGGGCCATTGGAGCGACGGCGCTGGAAGGCGAGCCGGTGAGCCCAAGAACTCTCTGCGGAGCTCTTTTCGGCAAGCTCCGAAAAGATGCCAAATACATAACAGTTACAAGTTATCAGGCTTACTTGCGTTACTTGGCACTTGGGACAACCCTGTTTGGAGATCAGAAGGCATAGGTTTTCATCATCAATGTTCTTATAGCTAGCACATTGCTCAAAAGAGCATGGTGATTGGCCTGCTTATCAAGCCAGTGACAAGGTGTATTGTCCCTAATTAATCATGGTCCTGCCAAGTGTGTCACCGGGAAAATCATTCGGCCTAGTCAGTTGGCCTTCCAGTCCTAGTACAACTGGGGACATCGCCTCCATCCAAACACGAAGGCGGACGCCGTCCGCAGGGACGGAAGGATCTGTGAACCGCATCTCAGTGATGGCGAACTAGACACATGGCTTGATCAAGTGATGTGCGAAGGACATCAGTTGCAAATAAGGGGCCCCTTTGGATCACCTTTGGATCACAAAGAGTATGGAAAAGGCGACCATGTTCACGGAATCAGTTCTTGCATGTTCTTGCGCAAATCCCTCTGCCAGAGATTTCATCCATGGCATTTTCGGGGCCGAACAGGGTTCCATGTTCCAGGTTTGTTGGATCGACAGTGGTGCATCTTCTGACTGGTCTCCCTCACCATCACGTCCGGCCATCGACCCGCACCCTCCTGCACCTAAACGCACGCACGCAGCGACCGTCCGAGTCGCACGGTCCGTCTGCCTGTCCAGCTTGCCCCGCAGAGTAAATGAAGCGCAACACCGCTTCGAAGGCCGGCGCGGAGGCCCTGCGAAGCGGTAGACAGGGTTGTTGCTGTCACAGTTAGGCCATGGTCGGAGAAAACATATGCGAACTACATAGTCCTAAAATGTCCTACACTACTCGACTGGCCTTCTATTCTTTCACACACAAATACTGCATACTGCAATCGAATCCTAGGATTGGAAAACTGCAAAGAAAAGTCGGCCTAAGATGAACTTTTGACCTTTCTTTGGATTGACTTATACCTCCAACGAAAGGTCAAAAATTCTTCTCCTGTCACAGGTTTGCGCGACGATGATCATCCAGCAAACCGTCTTTGCACTTGCCCAAACAAACAGTTCTGCGTGGAGGAGGGTTAGAAGTTCCGAGGGAGAGTAGGTCTTGCTTCATGACTTGTACTCAGCCCAGATTCCGGAAGAATTACGATACAGAGCGATACAGTGTCAAGGGAACGGAACGGAACCTGAGCAACGATCGAACAACGGAAAAAGAAAGCAGGTACCAGTTGTGGAACACAGTTTTGTCACTTGGTGATGAATTGAAGGCAGCGCCATGATTAAAGCATGGTCCAATATGTTTAGATGAATATATGATGACTATATATATATACATAATGCTATATATATATATTGTATATATGTATTACCATGTATTACCATAATTACATCTCTTTCTTTCGAAAACAAACTCGCATTTGTTACCCCTCCATGTCTGACCGGCCCCGGTGCCCGCCTGGGGATCGGCACCTCGAAGGCTGCACCCTGCGCGGAACCAAAAAAAAGAAGCCGGTGGCGGCGAACTCCGAAACGGGGGGATGGCTGGGGATCATAGTAGTAAGGCCAGGAGCCCCAGTAGCGTCCTTGCTCCCAGTAGCCCCTAGTAGCGTCCTTGTAGTAAGGCCAGGAGCCCCTAGGGTTTCTTTGGGTTTCTTTAATCCTTTTAACATCTGTTCAATGTAGTCATTGCATATAGACTTTGACCAACGCAAAGCTGGGACGAACACTGAAGTCCGGTCTATGGCGAGCGCAAAGGCTTGCTTGGGTTGGTATTGTCTTTGCAAACCTATATATATATGATATGATATGATATATGATATATGATATGATAGATATGATATGGTATGGTATGATATGATATGATATGATATATATATATATACAGTATGTATGTATGTATGTATGTATGTATGTGTATATATATGTAGAGAGCTCTGTTTTGGGTTCGCAAGACTGATTGCCGCAAACTTCTATCCTACATCAACACAGATCAGAAGGAGAGGAGAGACTCTCTTCAAGTGGGACGCAGGACATGCGGGCCTCCCCTTTCTCCTGTGGACAAGCTGCCTGCAGAAGACCTCAAATCCTTATCGTCAAAACATCGTCTAACAGGATTTTCTACTTCATCCAAGCAAACCCCTTTGTTCTTTCTTTGTTTGATTTGCTTCGTCAAAAGACCAGCACCGTTCTTCTCCCTTTTGTTCCACCAAACAGTCCAGTGTGTTCCGACCGCACATCGCCGCACACCTCGGACATCCCGGTGCGCAGCATCCGCTCGAAGTACTCGGAGCGAGCCGCCAAGAGGAACTTGTCTGCCTGCCGAAACTCGGCGCAGGTGCCGACCATTTTGACCATGGAGGGAGAGGCTTCTGGGTTTGGGAGGCACCCAAATTCCTTGGAGTCTGAAGGCTGGTTCCGGGTGGTTGCAACCAGGTGGGCAGAAGAAGAAGAAGAAGCGTGTGGTTTGGAGGGAGAAAGCGGATGAAGAAAGGGGGGGAAAGAAGAGAACGTCGTGAAGGGTTGCTCCGCACACATGGATTGGGCTGACCAAAAGGGCATCTGGAACCGGCGTGATTGTCAAGGTCCTTATCTAGTAAAGGAACAACCACCAACACCTGCACCCATGTTTATGTCTTATCGGTCTTATGTTTCATACAGTATATAGGAATCTTTTGATTCCTTTCGAACCCGAAACCCACCTTCCCACCTTCTCCCCCCGCGCTGGAAGCCGCTTTTCCCCCAAACAAGATCTGTCCCCGCCGCGCCGGCGCCGGCACCGGCGCGGTCGTCGCCTGCAAGGTTCGGCCCTCGACGGCGAAGCGCACCGCGCCACTGGGATACTTCGAAGGGCCTGGCGCCGGATCGGCTTCAGCAAACGACCCATGAAGTCCGTAACGGTCAACCGGTCGATATACGGAGACGGGTCGACGGGTCGACGGCATATAGGAACGAACATGAAAGAACTATAGGGTGAATCGATGGGTGAAACTCGCCATTTGCATGACAAGGGGCGTAAGACTGGGTAAGACTTAGACTTCGGGGAGGGGAGTAGATTAGAAAGGAAGACTATCATGGACCTCTTGCGCCCCTTTGGGCACGATGTGGGACCAAAGCATCAACATTGGAAGATGCAAGCCATCTTCAACAATCACCACCTTTGGTGGGGAAGTGACAGATTGCCTGTCTTCGGTATTCAAATTGACCCAGGTTGTGCGAATTTCATGGACACCCCAGCCTGCGCCTGCCTCCAGACATTTGAACGCGCTTTTTGTCGAACCATCTGTATGGCCATTCTTCGCGGAAACAACATTATCTCCTTTGTAGATCTTTCGCGGCCTCATCGCGAAGCATGATCCTAAAACCGTGCCAATAGTTAGAACGTGATTGAACTAGTTTTTAATATATGTTCTTTATTTTTTATATTTTTTTATATTTCCCCACATCTCTGTGTGGGGTTCTAGTTTTGTTGGCTGCCATCCCGCCCGCATCCGTCCTTCCTTCCCTCCGTCCTCCTCGCCCCC